GAACAAATAATATTGCTCCAACTATGTTGGTTAGGCCTTAATTTCTACAAAATGACTCTGAATCAATAAGTTATAAAATCCCTACAAAAGAGATGTTACCTCTAGGGGTAGAAAGATACAAGTAATAGTCCAGAAAAAAATCTTGGTCTTTGGACAAAGATGTCTTCAGGAAATTGTGAGTTCTCTATCTAACCACCTAGGTAACTTTCCTCTGTAGCAGGCTGGCTAGGGTCTACTTAAACACACTCTGAAAAAATGTGTCCAACGGTATCTGTAATACCCCGGAAAAACTCAGACTCAAGTCTGTACCCATTGACTCTCATTAGAAATCATTGTTTGATTTAAGTGTAATATTACATCTTTCCACTCTATTTCATAGATTTGTATAAGTCCTCTAAAGACCTTAATGAACTTATCAGGGTCATCTGAAAACTTTCCTAGATCTTGTTTGATGTGTTTGAGGTCACTGAAAAGAAAGAAAAGGACAAATGAACACAGGTAGTCCAATATTTGCCATTTACTTGCTGTCCTTGCAGGTCTTGAACAAAACCAGCCTAGGGTGGATGTACTCCAATAGATGCTTCATTTATTGTTGGCTCAGAAGCCTAACCCTCAGGATCTGAAAGAGAGGCAGGGGAATCCTCAGGCTCAGTCATAGTGAGTGTAGTTTTGATTAAAGTTCCTTGGAAGCTTTGTCCTCAGGTTTGGCACAGTAGATGAGATTAAGGCTACCTTAGAAACCTTGTAATCAAGGTTTAAAGGATGAAAGAGAGTAGCCTCAAGCTCAGTGGTAGTGAATCCATCTAATTTTGCCTTAGAGGCTAGAGGTGTCTGGCTTTCCTGTGGATTTTATTTACATTTTGAATAAAGAAAGGATTATTTTTTAATGCAAAGAAAGTCTGAACTGTAAGGCAGTTCTGGCCATTTTCCCTTTTTCTTACAATATTCTAGTTGTGAAGTAGTATCATAATCAATACTTCCTCTGCATTTCATTTTCACTCTGGAGAGTGGGCAGGTCGTGTGTGGGTACAGAGAAATATTAAAAACTTTTTTTAAAAAAAAATATGTAAGGGTTAGACATTTTCTAGTGCTAAGGAATACATGCCAAAGTAGTAAGACATTGAGTTTCCCAACTGAAATACAAGAGAAAGCATTGATGTCCCTTTAATTTCTACTTGATATAATTGTCCCCAAGGTTCCCAGCTTTAGAGCAGGTGGCTGCTATCTGGAGAGCAGATGATAGGTTGGGTTGGACTATTTACCTTTTTCCAGCTCCTGACCCTATCTTCCCTGGGAACTTGTATTTTTAACTTTGGTTGGTGTTTCCAAAGTATGAGTTACAGTTGATTCCAGCTGTAACAGTCATGTTTAAAGAAGGTAACATTGTTAGTGAAGAGATCTAAGCCACTGCTTTCCAGTTCTTTGAGAGTGAGGAAGATAGATCAAAGGGAAGATTGGAATGCTTTCCTCTGGAGATACAGAGTCAAGTAAATGGTCTTGAGAAATCCTGGTTGGGCCCTAAGGTGACAAAGTCTCTAAGGCATTTATGCTATCTCCCTAATCACCTAGGCAACCTTCCTAGCAGCAAAACAAAGCTTTTACTCAAAATCTATTATAAGATTTCTCTGTCTCTGAAACTCACAGGTTAAATTGATACCCATTGCCCGGTAACCACAATTCACATGTTAGCAAAGGGACTCTATCTCCAGAAAGGAATCCAGCTGCCTGTGTGGTCAGCACTGGCTTCAATGGGGATTCAGCAGGAGGTGTTAGGGAACATGTCCTCTGAAGTGTGGCAGCTGCTCTAAGAATATTTAACTTAGCTGGCAGGATAACCACTGTTTGTTAAAATTCTATAAGGGATAAAGAAAAGCTTGAGCTTTCCCCATTATGCAGTTTAGGCCGGCCTTGAACTTGCTTTCTAGCCCAGGCTGGAATCAAACTCACGGTGATCTTCCTGCCTCAGCCTCCTGAGTGCTGGGATTACAGTCATGTGTCACCATGTATGGCTGTTACATGCCTTTGAAAAGGAAAGTGCAAAGTGGTTGGGAAAGATCAGAAAAATGAGGTCTTTCCTTTTATGCTCATGGTGCATTATTAAGACAACCTGCTCATGAGTTATCACTCTCAGCCAGGAAAGGCAGTAATGGAAAATCTCAAGAGCTAAGATTGCCTCATCACCAGTAGAGGATCAGACCAAAAGAAAGTGACCCAGAACTGGATGCACATTTCCTCTAGAGTCTAGAGGAGGATGGGACCGATTTGTCTCAGTGAAACTTGTTCCTCAAGTCTTAAGAATGGCCCCTGGGGGTTAGGGAGATAGCTCAGCACTCTTAAGTGCTTGCTTGGCAAGTGCAAGGACCCAGCTTCCATCTCTTCTACCGCATGCTGTGCCAGCCCCAGAACACTGGGTACACTGTGCTGGCCACCAAAACAGGGTGTGGTGGTGCACGCCTGTCATCCCAGCCCTGGGAAGGCTGAGACGAGAGGAACGCTGTGGGTCCCAGTTGTGTGGCAAGGCCCTGTACCAAATAAATAAATACAAGATTCTAAAAATAAAATTTAAAAAAGAATGGCTGCCATCCTGTTGCCTTGTTAACTGGTAGAAGTTAGCTTGTTAATATATGAATTATTACTAGGCATATAAGTTTCTTCAATATAAACTATGTTTCCAAAAAGACCCATTTTACAGCATTTTATATCAAAGTCCACTAGGAGGTGCTCTATCAGCACTTTTCCTCTAGTCCTGGTGTGTGCATTAACAACCACAACAGTCAGGTCAAACAAGGAAAACCAATAAATTCTGCAATTAATCCAAATGCAACATATACACAGCAGGAATAACATGTCCCATCAAGGAAAGTCTTCCCATGTCTCAACCTAAATTTACCATTATTTTAACAAAAGACAATGCAGAAAATTCAAAGATGATAATTTTTGATTATTTAAGTGAGTCTCAATTCAGAATCTATGAATCAAAAGCAAACTCTTACCTCCATCCAGTTATCTGGACTTCCTGCTAGATGTCAGAGAAGCGAGTTTGTGCTCCTTTAAGTAGAAGAATGAGTTCTAAGGAGGAATGGAAGTTAAGAGTAGGAAAATTTATTGGGGTATAGGAATAGGGAACAGGAGGTGTTCTGAATGGGTTGCCCTACACAGATCTTTCTGATAGGTTTGTTAGACATTGGGATGCATTATTCTTGAGAGAGGTTGTTCTCTTTATTGTTTCAGAGGCATTTAATTATAGAATGGTTTTATGGTGGAAATAGAGAAACAGTATCATGTGGGTTGAATTTTTATTCTTTCCTGTGTCCTGTCTTTATAACAGCCCTGCACAAGTTGTTTGTTAATACTTATCATAGAAGTGAGCAGTCTTAAGACTTTGAGAAGTTCAGTGATACATCTGCCTTCTGCATGTAGTAGAGCCTGGATGTTGGGTGAGGACTGATAGCAAAGCCCTGGGTCTTGTCCTATAGTTTTGCTCTTTCCTTTGATATCACTTTATTCTGACATTCCCAGTTCCTTGAATGTGAAAACGTTAGGTATACTTGCCACCTTAGAAATTAATATTTGGCTAAAGGCTTAACTATAATTTTATTATAATAAAATTGTCAGTAGTTTTAAAAATCCTTTTTATGTAAAAATGCAAAAAGTGAGGCTTAATGTTTGATACAAAGTATGGGCAGGTATTACTGCTAATTAAGCTTTTTTGAAGATTATTTCAAATGACTTCTCATTAGTAACATTTCATGTTTAAAATAACATATTGATTAAAGGCATTTATAATACTTGGTTATAAATAGTTTTTAGAAAATAGTTTCTAGGGCCGGGGAGATGGCTCAGTAGAATAAGCGCTTCCTTGGCAAGCACAAGGACCTGAGTTCAATCCCCGGTTCTGAAAAAAAAAAAAGAAAGAAAGAAAGAAAGAACGAAGTTTCTAAATCCTACTGCTTAGGAAACTTCAATCAGAGGATTGTCATGTTACACCCTGCTTGGGCTAAAGAGTGGCATGACCTGTGTGGGCAGCAGGGTCTTAAGAGGGGATGATGAGAGATTAAGAAAAAAACTATGGACACATACACATTCTTTAAAGAAAAGGTGGGAACTGGAACAGGTAGGACCTGACCTCTCTGATGGAGAGGCAGTGACAATATCCCAGCCCCAGTGTTTTTACTTATATACAAAGTTAAAAAACCACCACAGGATGGGAGCCAGAGCGTAAGCTCTCAACATTTACTGAGAATACTGAAAACAAAACATTCTCAAAGCTGTCTGTACTGTACTTAACAAGGAAGAGCACCAAGGCCAGACACCCATTGGAATGCAAGTGAGCCTGAGGTCAGCTTGTTTACAAGTTCGTCTCCAGCATTGTGGTCCTTGGGACTGGCTTTGCTCTAACTCAACGAGTTTGCTGACCTCAGGCTCAGCTGTGGTTCAGCTGTTCCCTACCACATAGCAAGTTCAAGACCAGCCCGACTGCAAAGCAACGTTTTCTCTCACAAACGCCTAAAGCAAAGAAGGAAGGGAAGGAGAGAGCCGGGAAAGGAAGGGGAGAGAAGAGGAAGGGAGAGGAGATGTAGAGGGAGAGAAAGGAAGGAAATGGGAAAGAAAGAAAGTAGCTTTCGAGGCTTTTGTTTTTGTTTATCTTTATCCAGTTTAGGGTCAGTACTTGTGAGGACTTGATGATGTTTGCAGAAGTGACTTGAGTAATTATGAGGCTTGTTGGGATGAATATGCCGTGACAGAGCGCTTGTCCTGGATTCCTATAGTAATAAACTAATGAATAATAAGGCAGATTTTAATTGCTAAACATAATAACAGTAAATCTGTCCTGTAATATTTTATCATTTATTTTTCCAATATATTTAGTACACAAAAGACTATGAGTTGCATAGGCTGTTTAACTATAGCAATGAAATTAAGTTTTTGTACTCAAGAGTTAAGATATCATTAATACTATTTTTTTAACAAATATTCTCTCTTATTGTCTCCTAAAATAGACAAATATTACATAACTAAAGTTGTAATGGGAAGCTGCGATTTACTTGAAGAACTTAGAAGTCAAAATTGTGCTCGTTGTATGGAGGTGAGGATATTTACTTGTAAATATATTTTAAGATATGCTTGTTAGAGCTTGTAGTCATCAAGGACTATTAATAATTAGTTAATAAAATGGGTGCCTGGCAACATACAACAAGCTACTCCTGTAAAAGTGAATAATATGTTCTGGGGAAAATTTTAGTCAATTTTTATTTAGCAGTTCTGTAAAGAAGAAAAGGCCAAATTTTCTAATCTTAAGTTTTAAAATTTGATTTTTTCCCCTAAGCACAGGATTTTAATTAGTTGAGGAAATATGATTTACTCTGGTAACAGCTTGAGATATTATTCACATGCTACTTGGTTTACTCAGAGAAATAATTATTTTAACTAAAAAAAAAATGTATTCTAAAGCTCTCACTATGCAGTCTATGCCAGCCTTAAACTTGCTTTGTAGTCCAGTTTGGTCTAGAACTCGAAACAATCCCTACTGCCTTAGCCTCTTTGAATGCTGGGATTATAGGTGTATACAACCATGTTTGGCAATTAATTCCTTTCGAGATTTGAGTGTTTGAAGTAAAAAAGGTTTTATTATATCTGTCGATAATCTTTCATATATTTTCTTGGAAACCTGCCATGACATTGCAGTTAACCTAATGAGCATTGTCTATGTGTTACCAGCTATATGTTTAAGCACTAAAAGTATCACATTTGCTAGCCTAAAGTTAAAAGTCTACCTTGTAGCCAGGTGTGGTAGTGCATACCTGTAATCCAGCACTCTAGGAAGCTGAGGCAAGAGGGTCACAAGTTCAAATCGATGCTGTCTCAAAAGAAAAAGGCTAGGGAATGGAAAAAAATAAAATAAAATAAATAAAAGGCTAGGGATACAGCTCAGTGAGGTCTTGGGTTTAATCCCTAGTGTATGTGTGTGGGATTTACTTTGCATCTTATTTTCAGGCTGCTATCCCTTCTGTAGAGATAAGGTATACTTCAGAATATGTCTGCCTTGGCCAGGTGTCATGGCACACACCTGTAATCTCAGCATGCAGAAGGCTGAGGCTGGAGGATCACTGTGAGTTTAAGGGCAGAGTGGACTACAAAGTGTGTTCAAGACCAGCATGAACTGCATAGTGAAACCCTGTCTCAAAAAAGACAAAAACAAATGGGGAGATAGCTCCGTGGTCTGAGCACCTGCTGGCAAGTGCAAGGACCCACTTTGGTCCCCGGTACTGCATGCTGGCCACCAAAACCAGGTGTGGTGGTGTACAACTATAATCCTTGTGCTGGGGAGGCTTAGACAGGCGGTTCACTATAAGTCCGAGCTGCATAGTAAGACCCTATAATAAATAAACAAACAGGACATACCAAAAGAATATTCCTGCCTAATATTGCACACAAAGGAAAACATTTAATAATTATAATGTGCTGGTTTTGCTTAGTTTTTAATATTTCTTTATTGAAGTTAGTATTGAGTCAGTAGAAAAAAAAATGTTAAATATACTGTCATTGGTTCCCAGACCCCCCTAATACCGTAATCAGCAAGTGCTCCTGTCCTGCATGAAAACTCACAAAGTAGGTGCTGAGACACCCATGTACACTCCCTGCACTTTGGTTCTTGGTAGACTCCTTCTGTTGTCTAGTACAATAGAAATGTGTCAGGAGCTGTCATAGCATGTCCTTTAGGAGGTAATAACAAGGGGGAAAAGTCTGTGTGTTTAGTATTATTTGTTCCCCAGCTAGTTTTGTTCTGTACTTGACGAACCTGCAGATATAAAGTCCATGGACACAGAGGACTGACTGAACATACCAAAATATTAGATGCTGCCCTCTCATTTTCTACATAAATAATCCCTTAGGTCAATGGTATTGAACCTATGGCATGCATGGTGTTTCTTCTTTAATGCAAAGATGATAATATATGAGTTGCTTTTTTTCTAAACTAAAACCTCAGTATTCAGGTTCAATTTCAGGATTGGCACTTTGCGCTTAGTAAATGGGTTTCAGGTTGCAGTTTGGGTGCTCACCTCTTAAAGGTTCGCCATCTCTGTCTTAGGTTATTTCTGAAAGCAAAGGTAGAAGCCAAGCCATTTTCCCTAGGTATCAGGTTCTTGATTGTCTTTGGAGCTGGCTGATGGGTCTCTCTCATCTTGGTTTCTCAGCAAGGAGAGCTCATGAAAATCAAAGGAAATGAAGAATTTTCCAAAGAAAGATTTGATATAGCTATTATCTATTACACCAGAGCCATTGAATATAGGTAAGTGCAAGATAGACAGTGGGATCTCCTTTTAAGGTGGTAGATGATGCTGATGAAGAGAAGTAAAAGCAAGATGAGGAATTGCAGAATATCTTCCAGTTTGCCTTGCAGAGTGGGCTTTCTCGTTTTCAGGCACTGGTAGCATTGGAGGTAGCCTGAGTCTGTGAAATCAGTTTTGTAGAATAATTTTAGCAAGTCAGGCAGAGTAGTGACTTTGGCTCTACCCTGCTCCATTTCCTCTCCGGTTTTCCAGCACAGCGTCTATTCTGTCTTATTCTCACCTTGTCATCAGCTAATTTCCTTCCAAAGTGTTGATCAAGAGGATCATTTCTTAATATTTAAGGTGCTACCTACTCAGGAGTTTGTGCTCTTTTGGTCAGAACTTTAAAAGGAAAATAGTTGAAGAAAGCACTTACATTCTCTCTACCCTAGCTTATTACTTAGCCATTAGTATTCTCTAGCCAGCCCTGGTGCCTTGCTCTGCTCCTGGTTCTCTTGCTGGCACCAGGCAGTTCAGGAGCAGTTGGAGGGTGCTGAAGGCGCTGTTTGCTTTCTTCCTTTCCTCATCTCCACAGGCAGCGAGGAAGCCGAGGTCGCATGCAGCAAGAGAGTGCTGCTCTAAGCAAGAAGAGGTGGAGAAAAGAGAGTTAGTTCGGATTACACAGTCAGACAAAGCTCAGAGGAACAGAATTTGAAACATGGCTGTTCACATTACTGTTAGAATCTGTAAGCTTTGCGTTCTTCGTTGAGGTGGAACGCTCCTGATTCACCCTTGTAATCCTGTCCTCTACTGTTACAGCATACTTTGCAATTGGCCAGCCCTTTAGTGTGTCTCATTAAATCCTCATAGTAGCCCTGTGAGCTAGACAGAGCAATGAGTATTTTCATTTTGAATACAGTATTGTCTAGGTTGATTTAAGTGGGGTTGCTGAGAAAGTTGAGGCACTGAGTGAGACTTAGTTATTTAAGATTAAATGTCATATACATTTTTTTCTGTTCTGCCACACAGATGGCAAGCTTTAAAATGTTTTCAGTTCTGTTCTTGTTTCCTATGTAGTGTGCTTTACTGACTAAACATTCCTTCTTTTTAAGACCTGACAACCACTTTCTTTATGGTAACCGAGCTCTTTGTTTTCTTCGTACTGGACAGTTAAGGTAAGTTGGCTAAAGTACCCCAGTCACTGAATAGTTGTGCTAAATACCCATTTTGGGGAAACACTTCTGTTCACAGGTATGTAAGAAAATCCATGAATAGTTCTTTGACTGAAACAAATGGCTAAAAGAGCACTGTGGGTGTTATAGATGACGTCTATGACAGCAGCAGCTGAATGTGTGTAATCACATCCTACAGTATTTTTAATACTTCATGTATGTCTCACAGAAGTCTTAATAAGGTGGTTGTGTTATTTTCCTCATTTTACCTGTGGACCAGTTCATGCCACTCATAAGCAGTGATTGATGCCAAGATGTAAACCTTGATCTCATCTGATATCAGTGTACGCGTGTATCACTTTTACATTCTTTGCTCTATCTGTATAGTTATGGAAGAATCATTTTTGCTGTATTTTTCTTGTTATGAAAATTAAGTATGGCAGAGAGGTGTTGTTCAGTCATAGAGCACTTGCCTGGCATGCGCAAGGCCCTAAATGCCATCCCTACCCCGTGTACAGAAATTAAGTAGCTTTCGTGAGTGAAATGATATTGCTGTGAATGTAGAACTTAATTAGTTCTTGGTTCTATATGTTGAATTTCAACTAAATTCTTATTTACTAGTTTAGAGAGATTAAGGAAGATTATACAATGATTTTATTGCCTTTCTGTTTTAAAATCTTACAACACAGATTGTATGTGTTTTTTTAGTAGTGAGATTATTGTATTTAACTTTGTCCTGCCTTACTATGAGAAGTGGGGTGGATTCCAGAATACACCCACACAGTAGAAGAATGTTCACAGTATAGCAAACTACAAACCAAGTTAGGTCCTCACATCCTCAGGACCAGGCTGCATAGATATATGTCCTGTATGGATATTAAGTACAATTTATGATTTCCTCTGATCTTCTGTTGCCCAGAATGAAAAGAAAACTTGGCAATTAGAAGCAGAATGCCCAAGTTGCTTGGGTGAAAATGTTTTCCCAGTTGTGTGGGTAAAAGTGTTCCTTAAGAAAGAAATTTCTTATGTGGTTTACTTATGTTAATTGACTGACAGAGGAGAGAAAAATCCCAGCAACATTGTTATTCATTGGAAAATATCTTTGAAAATGTGGCTTTGGGTTTCCCAAATAAGTCTTTTGTGAAGTCACAAAAACTGAGTTTCTCTTACCTGTTTTTCAGTAAAAGCACTGTGGAAAGGTAGCATATTTCAAGTATGTAGCTTTTAAAAGTAACATTTACTATTTTTTAAAATTATAAATAGGAAACATTATCACAAGGTAGAAAATTTGAAAAATACCAGAGTTTAAGAAGATAAAAATCACCAGTAATCCAACCACCTTGGAGAATCTCATTGTATTAATGTTATGCAGCTCTTTGATGGCTTCGGCCGTACATAATCTGAGGCTATGTAGAGTCCAGAAGTGGATGGCATTGACAGAGTCTTCCCTCATTCCCACTCTGCTCAACTAGTCTGACAGAAAATGAGCTACAGCTGTCTTTAGGTTACTGCCTCTGTCTGGGGGTTCACCACCTTGCTAACTTCTGAAGACTGAGGCACCAGCCTAGAACCTTGCCTGCCAGAAGGTCACCCATGCTCTAGCTCTGAGAGTGGAGAAGCAACCCAGGGTGATTTTGCTCCTTCTTAAGTGCCAAATTCCAGATACCTGAGGAGGAGCCACCAAAAAACTTGTGGCAACAGGAGGAGGATGAAAGCAGAGACCCAGGAGCCAGGTAGCCTGGTGAGGTAAAGGTGAAGAGCAGGGTAGTGTTCTATTCTGGTGGTTGAACACCTGTTTTCACTAGAGGCAGGTCAGTAACACTGAGAGCCTTTCCTTCTTTACTAGGCAAAGATCAATACGTATTGGATGCCTGTTTAATATGCTACGCTGTGCCACACTGCTATTGCTGGTGCTTCCTACCTTCTCACACATTGTTTATACAGTTTGCTCAGTAAGAAAAGGGATGTTTCATTGTCCTGAACACATAGTATGTAAGTTACTGTATGTATAACTCCTAATCAAGTTTAGATGATACAACTTAAGAAGATATTGCCAGTAACTGAGATATGTCACCAGTAGAAGAGGACCCATGCCCTAAGAAGGCTTTTAGCTGAGTTTTGGTTGACAAACTTTGAGGCTTTTGCATCAGGTGGATGCTGGGTCTGGCACTGGGATCTGGCTGACGGTAGGGGTAAAGTGTCCAGTCTTCCCCAGTTGGGGCAAGCATGTACTCCTCAATCATTCCACAGGGACAGGCTGCTTGTGCACTGTTGTAAAAGCCAGGATTGAGCTTTAAGAGATCAGAGATGGGATATTTCGAAGTAATGCTGAAAAAGTAATAGAGGATTAATTCATGAATGTAAAACTTCTGAAATAATCCCTAAAATGTTAGAAAATATAAGTTAAAATAATTAAAAAGCATTGTTTTTAAAAATAAATTTGGCAAGGCTATTCTCCAAAATGATAAAAATTTACTGTGTCTTATAACATGGCTGATCCTGTTCTGATTCTTTGTGTATATTTGGTCATAATCGTGTAAAGTAGGTGCTGCTGCCTCTTTATAGGTGAGAAAGGTGAGGCTTAGGGAGGCAGAGCAAAGTGTCCAAGGACACAGGGTGGATGTGGTGCAGCCAAGACTTGAGCCCAGCCTGAACACAGAGTCGCTACTGTTAATCACTGCAAAAGTGATGATTGGATAAAAGGAGAATGTGAGAGTTGAAAATCTTAAAGTTAATGATCCATATATAGTCATTAAGCATTTACAAGGCCATGATTATCCTTACGTGACATACAAGTTTCTCTTTCATATCCATCAGATTGTCAAAAACTTAAAAACCTCATAATACCAATGTTTGAGAGGATGTGGAACAAAGGAATCTTTCATACTCGGCTGGACAAAGTATAAGTTGGTACAATCACTTTGGAGAGCAGTCTGACAAGGTGAAGATGTGCATACTCTGCAGCCCACGTCTAGGGTCATTCCTTCCAAACTCTCCAAGGTGCACCCAAGAAGATGTGGACGAGCCTTCCTATAGCATTGTTTGTAAGAGGAAAGAAGTGGGAACCACCCAACGGCCCACCAGTAGGGGCCTGGATAAATAAATTGTGGTATATTCACATGATGGAGTTCTAAATGGCAAAATGAATGCAATGCTGAGTGAACAAGCGAGTTGCAGAATAATTTGTATTAATGAGGTGCCATTTGTACAGTGTTTAAAAGCATGCAATACAGTATGCACATCCATTACTAACACCAAGTGTGTAAAATGTTTCTGGAATGCACGGGTTTGTTAAACACCTGGGGAGTGGCTATCTCTGGAGAGTGGAGGAGAGAAGCCTTTTGAAATGTGAGGGGTAATACCAAGTGGCTATCAACTGTAGAAAGCTTCTAGGAAAAGAGCCGAAGTAAGTGTGGCAAAACATTAATTTCACACTACACGGTTGGTACCTAGTACATGGGCATTCATTATATCAATGTTATTCACTGTTCCATTGTGTGCACTTGAAATATTCGATAAAAAGTATAATGTAATATAAAATGCACATGGGGGAGAACCCCAAATCACTAATTGGTCACTAAGTACCAGATTTTAAGGTGAGTGTAAAATCACCTTGCAAAGAAAGAAAAGTATGTTAAGGGCTTGCTTCCCAAGGTCATTGGCAGTTGGGAAGCAAGCACTTGGTTTTGAAATGACCAGGGTGCCTGTGGTGGCAATTTTTTTTTTTTTTTTTTTTGTGGTGGCAATTTTAATTAAATCTGTTTTTTTATTTTTCATATCACAGATTAAACACAGGACCTTATGCTTGCCAGGCAGGTGCTTATGTCAAGCAGAACTATCTCCCTGGTCCTGTGCTGGCAGTTTTAATTCTGATTGCCCAATTTGTAAATCAGTGACCACCTCTGAATAGCTGTGAGAGGCCGAGAGCCACCCAGCCCCTCTGGGTCTGTGGGTGCTGTGCCTGGGGGGCAGAGACATGGGATTGGGGGTCGGCGGGCAGCACTGCTGCTGCCCCTCAAGCCACGGCGTCCCCTCAGGATTGGGACTGTCTGCGGTGGGTCCCTGGGCATCTGGCTTGGATGAGATTCCTTTTCATTCTGGCCTTCTAGAAATGCTCTTATATACAGTGCGATAACTGCAGGGCATTCTTAGGGCGATAGTTGTAACTGAAATAGCTAGCAGTTTTCAGAGGAGTCTCCTGGAGAAGGAAGATGTGTCTGTGGAGAGGTAGTGAAAACCCATTGTGCAAATCTGGACGTTGCCCACTTCGTATGTGGTCCATTCTTACGGGATTCACACGTGGAAGATGGGCATTCTTCTGGGCATGAATGAGCAGCATAAGGGAAATGGACTCAAGAAAGCGAAAGGCTTATCCTTGAATGTTTTAAAATTTACTTTGGAAAGTCATGGGATTTTTAAAGTTGATATTTACTTGACCTTTTGGTATTTATCCATATAATATTTCCCAGCTGTGATTTATAGCAGACAGATGGACTTTAAATGAGTCCATTAGGTGGTTTTCCAAATCTCTTTGAGACCAGTGTAAAGGAACTTAACCGTGTGTTGGTGAGAATTTCAGAAATCTCTGTTTGTCTCAGTATGTTGTTTTGGTGAACTGTTTCTCTGCTCTCTTATTTCTCTATAGTTAGAATCCATAAATTTTGCCTTTGAAGAAAAGATTTTCAGTTTTCTTTGTGATGCACCCCCTTTTTAAAAAGCAGGAAAAAGTGTATATGGTAAAGAGCTGAATAGATAAGAATACACTGTAGACTATGCCCCAGCTCAGGCCTGTTCTAACACTTGGCTTCAGACCTTCATGCATTTCCATGATGTCTTGTGTATGTACAAACTCATTATGTTAAGCCAAACAGAGCACCATCTTTGTAAGTCAGAATGTAGGCAGTTTCATTTGCTTCAGTGTAGTATAATGTTTTCTAGGCGGGGCCATCCTACACGTAGTTGTAGGCCGTGCTGGTTTATATTGCGGTCTCAGAGCTTATTGTGTGCTCATATATCTAGAGATCTTTCTTGCTCTTTTTCATAGCTACACAGTACATGCTGAATCCATCAGTTTGTATCAGTATAGTTTGCACAGAGTCTGCCAAAAAATGGTTCAGGAGAAGAAAAACTTATATAAGTGTTCTAATACTAAATTTATTGAGGCATTGTGAGATTAATACAAGCTCCCCTCAGGTTCTAAAGTCACAAGAGGAGCTCGCAGTGGTGGCCTTGAGCCTCCTGACAGTTATTAGCACTGCGACCTGCTGCTTGGGCAGCCCTGGCCGCTGGGATTGCTGCATGTGCATCTTCAGCGTCTTCTCTCAGGGCCAGCAGTATAGTGGATTTTCTGTCATATGCAGTATCCTCTAGGGTACCCCATGTGAGGGTAACTCCCTCTGTTGAAAAACAAATTGTACTATTTTTCTTTTCCTGAAGTGTGTATACACTTTTTTTGCCAACTCTGTACACATAGTTTGTGTTAGTATGTAAATTATATACAATTGGGGATTTATTTCATTAGAGTATAGATAAACAGTTTTAATAAGCAAGATATAGCTCTCTAATGATAAATTTTCTTTATTTAGATTCAAATATATCCATAGGATAAATTTCTAATAAAGTTATTTCTCTCAGTTGGATGAAAAAATATATAAAAATTTTTAAGTCTAGACTCTAATTTTTTAATTTAAAATGTATATGCTTATTCAGTTTATGGTTATTAGTCACTGTATTTTTCACAATGACCAGAATTCTGCTTTTTTAGTATAGTAGTAAGATCAAGAAACTTGGGAAGTATTTTTCGCTAATCTGGCCAGACCCTAAAAATAATTATAGTGGGGGTGGGGAAGATAACTCTCAGGTGGCTTCTAGGTTTCTTAGAACTTGCATGTTATGGTCTGAGAAGGTCAGTAGACAGCATCTCCTTCCCTGCCTGAGGCCATCTCATATGTGAGATAGATGCAGAAGGCGCTTCTTGTGGCTACCTGTATGGTCATTGCACCCAGATGCCTCCAGTGCAGACACTAAGAGGCTCCTTCTTGATGCTCCCCCAGTCACAGAAGGACCTGGGCACCTAGGGCCTGGGAACTTTAAGCTTAGGAGAAAAGGAGTTGGTGTCTGAGATCCCAGAGTGGGAAAAATAGGCTAAGCCATCTATGTCTGATCCCCTCCACCCCTATTAGATATGTAACTGTCCTCCGTGGAAAGTTAATGATGGGAGAGACAAGTATACTCCGTTCTATTTACCAAAACTATATGGTAACTAGCAGAGGAAAAATAGATACTCTTTCCTAACATGTTTAGGCAAGATGATGCAGGTGGCCTGCGTATAAGGAGGGGGGAAAGGTCAGGGTCTACCAGGCATGACCTCACTGTTACTCATACTGAAGTGCCTATGAAACATCTGCCTGAAATATCATTGTAAGGGAGTTATGTGGGCCTGGAACTCTCAAGGGTAGATGAGTTTGGGAGAGCTGGCGTACATAATTTGAAGTTGTAGATGTGACTAGCGCAGCGAAATAGGTCCCAATATGGGCTGCATTCTGGAGTCACTTGAGGTGAAGAAAGAGCACCCACCAAGGAAACTTTATTTTTATTTTTTATTTATTTTTTTTTTTGGCGGAACTGGGGATTGAACTCAGGCCCTTACGCTTGCCAGAGAAGCGCTTATTCCACTGAGCCATCTCCCCGCCCCCCTTTTCTTTCTTTCTTTCTTTCTTTCTTTCTTTCTTTCTTTCTTTCTTTCTTTCTTTCTTTCTTCTTTCTTTCTTTTGGCACCAAGGAAACCTTTATAGGCTTTTTAGAGGCTCCCCTGATAACTCTTATGTATGAGCAAGAGTGAGACATGCTAGCCTAGAGAGCATGAGCCAAAGTAGAACAACTAGGATCCAGTGTTGAGGTGCACTGAGACGGTAGTCAAAGAAGAGCCAGCCTTCCCAGGAGACTTAGAGGTGGCCAGAGAGGGAAGCAGCAAACAGTGCAGTGCCATGAGAGACAAGCTGGGTATAGTGGGGTTGGGTTTATCGGCATGGATATTGGCCAGTAGCCACAGGGAGGGCTGTCACTGAGAGCCTGGGGACAGGAGGCAGGTACTCCGGGAGGATGTGTGGAGCCTGAGGCATGCCTTGGGTTAGGTTGTTTAGGGCTTTAGGTTCTGAGGCAGCTGGTTTAAATGGTGATGAAAACAACTTGATTCAAGAGTTGCAGAAGAAGGAGGCTTTAACATTACATGTTGAGTGGCTCATCACTGTCAAGAGAGACCTAAGTTTCTCCAGCTAGACTGTGACTTGCTCAGCAAGTGTTCCTCAGGGTGGCCATTGTGGTTCAGTCACCAAGCCAGATACTGTAGCTTTGTCTTGAAATTTTAAACACAAAAGAAAAGTAACACATGCAGAAAAGTAAGGGAAACATGAAGTGTATTGGTTAGATTTTCAGAAATCAGACAGCTGAACCCAGTACCCACATCATAGCCCCAGACCCTGAGCCATGCCCTTTGTTCCTCTTCCCAGTCCCTTTTCCTCCCCCAGGACAACTGCTAGCCCTGCTCTGCTAGGTCAGTTTTGCCTGTTTCTGTACAATATAAATGAACTCATGAACTATGTGGTCTGCTGTATTTGGCTTTCAGTGTTATTTTTTAGGTCCATGTTGTTGCATGTAGTTGTAGTGTTCTTCTGTTGCGTGAACGCACCATACTATCCATTCACTTCTTGATGGCCATTTTGGTAGTGTCTAGGATCTGCATTTTGCAGATTGTAAATGTATATTCAACATTTGTTGAGTATGAGCAAGGAGTGGAGTTATTAGGGCAGGGTTTGCTTGTTGTGTTCAACTTTAGTGCATAATTTTCTCATGTGGTTGTGTCCTTTTCTGATCTTACTAACAGCTTATAAGATTCAGTTCCATGTCATCAGCACTTGCTACTTTACATCTTTCATTTAGACATCCTGTTGGGTGTATAGTAGTATAGCACAGTGATTTAAATTTGTATTTCTATTTAATATAAATTTAATATTTAAATTGAAATTTTCATATGCTTATGAATTTATTTTAATATTTTCTTGTGATAAGCCTGTTGGTCCCCCCTAAGTTGACTGTATTTATTTGTAGGATCTTTTGGCTTGCTTTCAGTTCTAGATGTGAGTTATTGGTCAGACATGTTTGTACCCTTCTTCTTATATTCAGTGGCTTGCTTTTTCATTCTTTTTTTCTTTTCATGAGAAAGTTGCTAATTTCAATGTAGTACAGTGTTACCAGTTTACTCCTTCATTGTAGGCACTTTTTGTATTCTGCTCTTAACGCATGTTTACTCTTAAGACCACGAAAACTTCCTATATTTCTTCCAAAAGACTGACTATTTAACTTTGATCTACAGGCCTTCTAGGACTGTTTTTTGTATTTAGTGTGAGATAGGGTTCCATATTCCTAGCAATATTCAGTGGCCCAGCATCATTTGTTAAGGGAATGTATTGTTTTGTTTCTCTTTTTCCATTGGTCAAGTTGTCTGTGAAGGCTTTCTGTAGGTACTGGTGTTCAGTAGTATTACGTTACTTAGTTTTGTTTCCTCTTATCTCTTCTTAAGAGTGATGAATTTGCATTCGTTTGACTGTGATGTGAAGAACTAGTGAATTTTAACCATGTAGGAAGGAGGATTAAAAAACAGTGGGAAAGAGTGAGTGAAGCAGGAAGAGTTAAACGAGTAACATGGAGTAAGTGAAGTAGTAGGGAAGAGTTGAACACCTGAATTAGAAGTTGCAGAGTTGAAGCAGTTCGGAGTGGTGCTAGGTTCTGTCAGAAATGTGACAGGAGGTGGGTGAGTCAGAGTGTAGGAGGAAGCAAGAGGGAAGTCACAAACTGAGCGACTAAGGCACAGATGTTATAGTACTTGACAGTTTGCAAACTATACTTCCTAACACAGTGTCTAACTTAGAGTCTGCCATCAGATAGCTAGAACACAGTTGTCGCATCTTACAAGTAACAGAGTGGGCCCGAGAGGTTGATGACTTCCCGAGGGTTCAAGAGAACTGGTGATGGACTGGAATCTGTGCAGACCATGTCCCAGTGTCTGTGCTTCATTCAGCAGGGCTTAGCAAATGCGCCAGAAACTCAGGTGTTCTGGAGATCAGAAGTCATGGTAAAAGGCAAAACTGGTGTTGAAAAATGTGCAAAATCTATAGTTATGATTGGATGAGGTATTGATAACAGGCATGTGGAACGTACTTCAGAAATACTGAAAGTACTTATTTGTGTGATTGTGACTTGGGGTTCCTTTTACCCTTTCATTTTTCTGTATTTTCTAAGTTTCCTGCAGTGAATGTAAATTGTATGAGTCTTTCAATATTAAATTGCTCTTTGACGAGATGATACACATAGGAAATTTAGAATGTGCAAATAACAGTACAATATGCGGTACTTCTACAATGCATAAAAATGTTTAAGTATTTTACTTCTTGATTTTCTTTTTAGAAATGCACTTGGTGATGGAAAGAGAGCCACTATTCTGAAGTGCTCCTGGCCAAAGGTAGGCTTCTGTGCAGTACTTTACACTGAGCAAATTAACATCATACAACTTGTGAAAATCATTTTACAGGATGTGTATTTGTATATTAAAATGTTGGATGGAATTGTGCAGAACTTAAAACATTGGAAAGGGAAATCTTTTTTTTTTTTTTTTTTGTCTTTTTGAGACAGGGTCTCGCTATGCAATTCAGGCTCACCTTAAGCTCACTTTGTATCCCAGGCTGACCTTGACCTCACAGCAATCCTCCTGCCTCTGCCTACCAGTTGCTAGGATTATGGGCGTGTGCCACCATGCCTGTCTTGGAAAGGGGAATCTTTGAGGCCCACTATTAGTACAAGGACTCAGCCATAGCTGGAGTTGGGGGTGCACTTGCAGCCCATGTGTGCAGAGGGCCTGCAGGAAGGGTTGCAAGGCTGCAAGATCCTTTAGCAACTGAGTGGTAGCATCTACAATTGAATGTTCGAAAATAGTAGAAATGAACTTAAAATCCTGGTGCTGTACAGTATCTGTACAACCTTGAAATAAGGAAGAATTTCTGGGGTTTTTTTCCTCCTGATTGAGTGTAGTACCTCTTCCCTGCAAGCTTGTGCCCTACCACTATGTTATTCCCAGAACATCAAGGTTTTTTTTACATGAGGCTTAATACACAAATCTGCAGTGGAAAAAAAAATCTACTTTGATGTAATTGATAATCAAATGTAAAACTTCTGTACATCAGAAGACATGAATGAAACAGGAGGCAAGACAAGACCATTCACCACAGATAACATGCATAACGGGGTTTAGATCCAGAATATGCAGATAACCTCTAAAATAAATAAGAATACCAGTAGAAAATGAATTAAGATACCAAATAAACATTTCACAGAAGAATAATCAGAATGCCTATAGGAAGAAGAAACTGCTCTAATTCCTTATATTTAAAATAAAAGGGGATTTGGTACAGGCTAGAAAAATGACATTAGAAGAGAACAGAAGGCTTCCAGACAACCACCTGTGCCTGAGGAAATAAAATAATGTGATGCTGTTTGGGTTGTTCAGAATAGCAGAAATCAAGGGCCCGGGGATCTGTGTGTGACTGCTGAGTATGTAGTGAGAGGGACCCTCAGTCCACTGCTGGGGTGTGGACTGCTCAAAGCAGCTAGGAGAGCACTGCAGGGTGCATGGCCGCGACTCAGCTGGGTGCGCCCTGGAGAAGCACTCGAGTCTGTGTGCATACTGACCACAGTACTGACTCATTTCACACGCGTGTACCCTGGAACATTGCTTGTGTATGTACATGTGGTGCAGTGTGTAAGATCAGTCACTGTAGCATTCTTTCAATCACATAGAAGCTCAGATGCCTAAATGTCCGCAGATACAGTGCTGGTGCTATTTTCACATGAGCCGTCTGGTCTGCAGCCCCAGCACCTTTCGTGCTTCCTTCCTTACTCTTGTTGCTCTCTGTGGTTCAGCATTGCACCCGTGGAGTCTTCCCTGCTTCCAGGCCCACTGCAGTTTTGGCTTGCTGTTCCTCTGCCTCCAGTGTGTTCACTTTCACTTACTCACTTTGCTTCTATGTTTTATTTTTTCCCCCTTGCTTTGGAGTGGTGGTGGTGGTGGTGGGATATATGTGTGTGTGTGTGTGTGTGTGTGTGTGTGTGTGTGTGTGTGTGTGTGTGTCTGACAGTTCAAGGCCAATCTACTAGGCTTTGAACTCACTATGTAGCCCACGGTGAATTCAAAAGCAGTCTTCCTGCCTTGCCTGTAAGTGTGAAGCTTACAAGAGCCACACCCAGTGCTTCATTTTTTTGATTGAACGTACTTTTTTGGGTGGAACCTTCCTTTGGCAACATGATTAAAATGCTGAACCTGCCCCACCTAGACATTCTCTATCCTTTTTCCTGGATTAGTTTCCTCTTAGAATTTAGGGTATTACTAAGCCTACTGTATGTACTACTTATGTTATGTTGGTCATGTCTTCCACTAGCATGTGAGCTATACAAGGAAAGATTCCTTGGTCTGGTAGTTTCACTCTTGAGCCTGGCTTGTCTGCCCAGCTGCCTGGCCTCATAGCAGACACTCAGGAGTAACATTTGTAGATTTTATGAATGAATAATTGGATAGTAGATGGCAGGTGAAATTAGTTGACTAGCTCATTGACAGTCACTGATTTTCAAAATAAAACTAAATGAAAAAAATTAGTAAATGTATAACTCTCCTACTCATGATAGTGTTTGTTTCTGTTTGAAGAAAGAAAGTAAGAGAGATTCTAGAGATTGTACCCATTCTATATGGTTTTCTTTCTTTAAAAGAGCTCCTGAAGAAAATGTGACAAGTCTCAAAGCGTAATTCTGGGTGTTATATAAGTCCATAAATCTCTGTATTTTCCTAGATCATAAAAATATGCACTTTTTTGAAAAGTGGAGCTTCAGATAAGACACCAAAAGACATGTGTTTGATACTTATTCTTGGTTTTGTTTTGTTTTTAAAAAAGAAAATGAGCAGACTTACAGAATTTTGGGGCCTTAGAGAATTTTATCTTAGCCATTACATCTCTGCTGATAGACTTCATTGATCTAATTATAGGATTTACTTTGTTCAGTATTTTAAGAAACTAAACCTTTTAATAGTAGCACACTGTTAAGAACATAAAGTACAAAAGAGCATAAAATAAAAGAGATAAGTAGCCTGGGCGTTTTTATAGGACACTTTTCTTTGTCTTTCCCCCTAACATTGTGATTTAGGTGGCCTAGCAGTATTTAGTGGTCTAGAGAGTATAAAATTCCTCGGGAGGGTATCCACATCTAATTTTAGAACCATTTTTTAAGGTGCCTTATCTTACATATGAAGAAATTGAGTCCCGGAGAGGTACAGTGACTTTTTGGGGAGAAGGGCAGAACTGGGGATTGAACTCAGGCCCTTGTGCTTGCCAGGGAAGCACTTACTCCATGGTACAGTGACTTTTGCAAGGTGTCATTGCAAGTGAAAGACAGAACTCAAGTGAGAAGCTAGCCCTGGCTGGTGCCTGTGTGAGGATGATCAGTTTGCTACTGTGCTCATCCTGGGGCATTCTTTGCGTGAAGTCAAATAGCCTGGCCTTTGGAGGATATCCTGCACATATTTGTAGAGTCAGTGCATAATTGAACTTTGAAAACCAGAATCCAGACTTGGATATTGATTTTCCAGAGATAATATTACAAATTTTATTTTTTCATGCAATTTTTAGTCCTTTATCAAGTTTTAAAAATCACTGGCATTGCAGCTAGTGATTGGAAAGGAGAGGTCTCTTAAAAATAACAAGGAACCAGGACATAACAATGCAGTAGCTGCAAGATGATGTGAAGAAAAACAATATAAAAGACTTATAGATGTCAATGAAACAGCAGGAATCAACACAAATGATTGAAAAGACTATTTGCAGATGTAGCAGCAGAAAACTTCCCAAACATGGGTATATAGTGAGGTATATAGAAATCCTGTTAGCCATAATCAAAATAAATCTACACCCAGACACATAATCAAGATCTCAGAAATTCAGCAAAAGAACAAAATATTAAAAGCTGTTAGAAAAAACGAAAGAGAACACTTGTAATGGAAAGCCCATCAGAATCATGGCAGATTTCTCAGCACAGACTATTGTATCGAGAAGAGATTGGAGGGCTGAGGAGATGACTCTGTGGAATAAGTGCTTCCCTGGCAAGCGCAAGGGCCTGAGTTCAATCCCCGGTTCCACCAAAAAAAGAAGAGATTGTAGTGAAGTATTTCAGGTCACGAGAGAAAACACCTTCCAACCCAGATTATACCCTAAAAAACTAAAATTTAATGTAGAGATAAGATACTTTAAAGAACAACTAAAGAGCATGACCACCAAACCAACCCTACAGAGAGTACTGACAAATATTTATTTATTTTTAGTTATTTATTTTTTTCTGACAAATATTTTAGAAAGAGACAAAAATGACCCAACTTCAAGAACAAAAAAGAAAGGAACCATGAAGCAGAGAAAGCAATTAAATAGGGGGGAAAAGTAGGAAACCTACACTAGCAAAATAATACAAAAAAGATAAGCCAATACACATCAGTTAAAACCATCAGTGTAAATGGCCTCAGTTCACCAATCAAGCAGACTGGCAAATCAAGAAATAAAATCCAGCCATGTGCTTTATACAAGAAATACATTTAACTCAAAAAGAAATTCATGGACTGAAAGTCAAAGAATGAGTAACAAGACTGCATATAATAGGAACCTAGAAAAAAGCAGCAGTAGCTATCTGGCTGCTGACAATGTCAACCTCAAACCAAGAGTGATTAAAAAAGCTACAGAAAGTCACTACATCAACTCAGGTATAAATTAAAAAGATGTATTTTTACACAATGGAATATTACTCAGCTATGAAAATAACAAATGCTGGAGAGATTATGGGGGGAAAGGAACACTTCTTCACTGTTGGTGGGAGTGCAGACTGGTATAACCACTATCAAAATCAGTGTGGGGATCCTAAAAAAACTAAGATTAGGGCTGGGGAGATAGATAGCTCAGCATTCTAAGGCCCTGCCTGGCAAACAAGCTCAAGGACACAGTTCAGTCCCTGGTACCACATGCCATGTAGGCTCTGGAAGGGCACACTGTGCCAGCCACTGAGACTGGGCATGATGGCACATGCCTGTAATTCCATCACTCAGGAGGCTGAAACAAGAGTATCCCTATGAGTCCAAGTTGTGTAGCGAGACCCTGTACCAAATAAAAAGCTAGGATTAGAAGTCCCATTCAATCCAGCTATTCCCCTCTTAGTTTTATTTCCAAATGAACTGAAAACATCATACCACAGTGATTTATGTGTATCTATGTTTATAGCAGCACAACTTGTCATAGTTAAATCTTGGAAACAACCCAATGTTCATCAACTCAGGTATAAATAAAAAAGATGTATTTTTACACAATGGAATATTACTCAGCTATTAAAAAAAGATAAACTTGTGGCTTTCATAGGTAAATGGATGCAACTAGAGACCGTACTGGTAAGTGAAATAAATCAGACCTGCATGTGCAAACATCATATTGTCTAGCTAGTACCTGAAAGAGCAAATAAATCTGAAAGGTACAATAGATACTATGAAAGATAATCTGTTCAGTGAGAAGGAAAAACAGGGATGAGGGAAAGGACAAATGTAAAGTAAAAAGATATATTTATGTATACATGCAGAATAGCTTGAATAACTGTACTGCTGGTTTCTGTTGGTCTATTGTAAGGAGCAGTTAATGCTTAATTTTTTTTTTTCCTTTTTAAGTTCTCATACCTTTTTAAAGTCAATTTTGTGTGTTTGTATCTGGTAATCTGAACAACTAATTGAAGATAATACAACAATCATTGTCAAATTCCTATTACTTTGTTTAGGTTTTCTGATGGTTTCTTTTGTACCATTTTGTAATCTCTTAAAAAAAAAAAAAAAAAAAAAAGGTTGAGCTGGGTACAGTGGCACACACCTGTAATCCCAGCCCTGGGGAATCTGAGGCAGGAGGATCAATTAGGTTCAAGGCCAGCCTGTGCTACAAGGAGAGACTCTGTCTAAAAGTTTCTGAATTATTTTGACAACTTTTGGAGAAATTTGTTACAGCTAGGTTTATCAAACACAGAATATCCACTCTTTTCTTGAATGTTTCATGATGTCATGATTGCAAAACTATTTGTCTAGGTCCAAATTTTTTCAACATTAAGCATTACTGTTTATTACTACTGTTAAACATCTAAAAAATTGATAACTATGTAACTAGTTCTTTTTATTTTATCAGCTAAAAAGCTCCTTCCAGGATAGTTTAAACTCCAAAAGCATAGTAAACAGAGAGAGGTGCATTCTTTATAAGAGTTGCTTTCTTGCCAGGGAGCTAGCTCAGCACATAACCGCCTGCCTGGCAAGTGTGAGGTCCTGAGTTCGATCTCAGGTACTGAATTAGATGTAAAACTGAGTCTGCATAGGTAAGTACTTTAGATTCCTGCACAGGTAGATTAAGCTGGGTCACTTTTGCTTCCTTCTTGCCAGATGGAGAAGACCAGCACAATTTTATCTGATTTCAGGTATGCTTTCAGGCTTTAGAGAAGATGAATCATTGTGTAGTGTTTTTTGTTTTTTTTTCAAGACAGAGTTTTGCTATGCAGTTCCGAGTGGGCTTAAAGTCACTGTGTAGCCCAGGCTCAGTGGTCCTCCTACTTCAGCCTCCTGAGTGCTGAGATTATAGGCGTGAACCTTTGTGTCTTAAAGAGTGAGAATTTTTCAGATATAGTCAACAGATTTTTATGTTCCTGTGTACATTGTCTGTTGATACATGATTTACAGATACAAATCAGTAGCGTCACAAAAATCCTCAAGAAACTTAAATTTGAAGGGTATTTTGGGACTTTTCCTTGGGAATGACAGAAGCTTGGGTCAGATTAGATTTACATAGTAAAGGGAGTTTATCAGCTAATGTAACTGGGAAGTATAGGGTGCTGGCCCGATCCAGAGTTGTGTCTTTCTGTTCCTCAAGGTGCTGTACTTCCCTGTTCATTTCACGTTAGTTTTCCCACACTTCTCTGATGGCTTTTACCTTATGTCTTTTGCTGTGTCCTCCAGTTCACTAATATTTTCTTCAACAGTGTCAATTCTTTCTTTTGTTCCAGTGTATTTTTCATCATAAATGCTATGCAATTTACATCCTTAAAATTACATTTTGGGCTTCTACATTTCATGTCTTCATTCAATATTTATGTTTAGTCTTTCCTAAAGCTTGTCTTTATTTGCTGATTCTATCATCTGTTCATTTGTGGGTTGTTTTCAGTTGATTGATTTTTCCCCTCCTTCTTATAGGTTATGTTTTTCTTCTTTGCATACCTGCTAATTTTTAATTGGATTCTTAACATTGTAAATGTTACCTTGTTTGTTGGTTATCTTTGGTTTTCTATAACTTTTTTTTTCTTTTTTTTTTTTTTTTTTTTGGAACCGGAGATTGAACTCAGGCCCTTGCGCTTGCCAGGGAAGCGTTTATTCCACTGAGCCATCTCCCCAGCCCCCCCCTTTTTTTTGAGACAGTGTCTCACTATGTAGTTCAGGCTTAGGATGATCCTTCTGCCTCAGCCTCCTAAGTGCTGGGATCACAGGCTTTGTCACCATACCTGGTGGCCTGTAAATATTCAGGAGCTTTGTTTTGTGACACAATAAAATGAGACAGAAGCAGCTTAATTCTTTAGAATCTTGTCTTAACTTTTGTCGGGTGGGGACCTACTGGCATTTACTTGAAGGCTAATTTTTCCTCACTATGACTCAAAATTTTTCTGAGTACTCAACCTCATGCCCTGTGAATTAGGACATTTTCCATTGTGGTTGCTGGAAAGATCAGTTCCACCTGGTTCTGTGTGAGTTCCAGCTGTTGTTTGCTGTTGTTTTTTCAGCTGGCTCTTTCCTTGAGGTCAGTAGTGCCCCAGCATGTGTGTTCTGGTCAGAACTCAGTGGAAGAACCCAGACAATGCTCAGGAGCTATCTTGTTGGGCAGCTGTTCCCTGTCTGGTTTTGTGCCCATGAACTCAAGGTGGTTTGGTCCTTCTGCCTCCTGTGTCCCCCTCATTCACTGAGGGAGGCCACCAGCCTCTGCCTGGCTCCTCTTTGTGCTAAGGCTTAGAAACTCATCAGTGACTTCAGGTGTCAGGAAACAGGGCCTCTACCCTCTAAGGAAAACTGGAGCTTGATGAAATGCAGTTTAAACTGAGACCTTTGATCTGTGCCTAAACAGTCTGGATAAAAAGGCACTTGAAGGAGCGCATATGGATTGGCAGTGTACACTGAACCTGCATATAAGCACATCACATGATTATCTTAGTGCAAACTGATCTTTCCTAAAAGGGTACTTACTTTGGGTTCTATATTTTCTCTGGAATTGTCATTGAATCAGAATGGTTTTTATAAAGTATGTATGAGAAAATAAAAGGATCTGGAGTAGCTGTCATGAGATTAGGTACTATGATTTATTTGCAGTTCCAGCCTCTTTCACAGTAAATCATCTCTCTCACAGAGATACTGTGCTTAAAACGATATAGTTTGGTTTGTAAGTAGCTAGGAGAAGGGTTAGCTGAGTTAGTTCCAGGTTTGATACTTAGCTTTCTCCATCCAAATTTTGGTAGGTTTTTGTTGTTTTGAGACAGGGCCAATATAGTTCAGGCTGGCCTTGAACTCACTGTGTCACTCTGGTTAGCCTTGAACTCACAACAATCCTCCTGCCTCAGTCTCCTGAGTGTTAGGATTACAGGCATGCACCACCACTCCTACCTCAAAAGTTCATATTTGATATATAGGATTTCCCAAATCTTGGAGTCAGCAAGGATTTTAGTTCTGTAGCAGAAAAATGAGACAAAACAAAGTCTTATATCTTTGTAATTGAGTTAAACTGATGATTTTGTTTTTAAATCCAGGTACTACAGTTAGAGTTAAAAAAAGATTAACACCTGATTGAGAGCCAGCAAGATAGCTCAGTGGACTAAGCATGCCTGCTTAGGCAAACACAGGGACTGGGCTTCAATCCCTGGCACCACAAGCCATCCCAGCCCCACCCTCGGGCATGCTGAGCCTGCAACTTGAGTTTGGGTGTGGTGGTGCGCTCCTGTGATCCCAGCGCTGGGGAGGCTGAAAACAGGAGGAGCACTACGAGTCTGAGCTGCATAGTGAGCCCCTGTACCAAATACATTAAAAAAAAAAAAAAAAAAAAATCCTGATTGAAGGGGCAAGGGATAGGCCAACAGCACCCCTGTTTGTGGCTGTGCTCTTTGGAATTGCGGGAAACTACCACGCATGATCACTCCTTCCAGCTCTGCGACCGTCTTGATTTCCTGAAAATAGGCCAGGAATGGTGAACTACAGCACACATGCTGCAGCGGGCTGTTTGTATCTTTGAAGGCTCTAAAAGGTTCCCCGTCGCTTGTATAGGGTATGTTATAGACTGTTACTGTGTGTTTTGAAAAATTAAGTTACTTATGTGCAATGAAAAAAGTTTATATTTTATCTGGCACAAACGTGTGGTTCATTTGCAAGCAAAATATTTTTCCTTACCTATTTTCTTTAACTTAAGCATACTTTTGAGAAAAAAAATTACATTTATCTTTTTGGAATAGGGTCATTATCGTTATTGTACTGCTCTTTCTCTGCTGGGAGAATATGACTGGGCCCTGCAAGCAAACATAAAAGCTCAGAAACTCTGTAAAAATGACCGTGAGGGAATCAAGGATCTAATTCAGCAGCATGTAAAGTTACAAAAACAAATAGAAGACCTGCAAGGTATTTCGCCTAAGATTCTTTTGGGTGTGCTTGAATTCCCTTGAGCAGCGCGGAAGGTGGGTTTCCTGAATTAACGGAGGAGCATGAATCAGTCCTCGGATGATCGGTTCTGGGTCCTGTTACCTTGGTCAGTCACTGAAATTTCCATTTCTGTGTGTGTAGAATTACATTGGATTATCTTCCTTTAGGTCATTATAAATGGTTTGTAGTTTTTACTTGAAACATATAGCAGCCAAGTTATTGTTTATTCTTTTGTATAAAAAGTTTCCAGAAACTTTGAATTAAAAGGTTTTTTTTAGAAAATTGTTTTAGTTTTTTCCATTATTAATTTCTAAAGAAAAAGCTTTTAAATAGTGTTGCTTAGTGATGGTGCCCCACGTTTTGTGTAAGCTTTGCTAGTTCTGTAGTACAGTGAGCAGCTGTGTGCATGCACACAAACAGCAAAGACTGATGGTGTGGGAGGATCGTGGAGGTTCACTCTACCCTTTTTTTGTTGTTGTTCTCCATTATTTTTCTTTCTCCAATGCTTGAGATTTCTTTACTCAACCCTTTCAGAGCCTAGATCTTCTCTGCTGTTTCCTCCCTTGAGCGTTTAGTGTCTCTAGGGCTGAGCTGAGCACTCAGTTTCACCAGCAGTGTTGTCCTGCACAACTTGATTCTAATGCTGTGGCGTCCTTAAGAGTAGGTAGCATCTTTTATTCAAGGGATGTATTGCTCTCATCTTGTATTTATCATGTGCAATTGGCTGTCAGACTAGTGTAGAACTGTAAAATAAGGTTTATGTTTCAGCTTTCTAAGTTTGATGGTCTTAACTATCTGCTTAAAGGAAATTTAAGAATTTTGAGGTCTGTATTGCTAATCCATTAATTCATGTGTGTTTGATTGACTTTTATAGGTCGTACACGAAATAAGAATCCAATTAAAGCCTTTTATGAAAGAAGGTGAGTTAATATCAGGTCAGTAGCTGCTACTTGGAATATTTAAAAGCCACTTGTGTTTGTCACTTAAGAGTCAGTGGCAAGCACGGCAAAGTGGAGGGCTTGGAGGAAGGAGGGTTTGGTGAGTGTGTGTGAGATCAGGTGCTCTGTGAGCTGTCAGGTTGATTGCATTCTCTGGGACATCTGGATGCACAGCTTTGGGGAGGAGTCCCCTGGCCTGGGGGAGAGATGCCGAGTCGCTGGGTGAAGCCTGTGCTTCATGAGGTCAGTGTACTGGCGGCACTGGCAGGAGAGCTGTCCTCGTGCCCTCTTCTGTCCAGGACATCTGCCCAGACTCCCAGGGGCTTTTCTGAGGCTACAGACACACTTGGGATGCTTTCAAGAAAACAAGTAGTGGCCACCATTCTACACCGGCTCATTTGACAGTTAAAGCAGATGAAGCTTTTATTCCCATACTTGCTTAGATGTACTGCATAGTAGAACTAGTGCATGTGAAACAAGAGGACTTACTTTAATACTAAAACCCAGAACAACTCTCTTGAACTGTTCTTAATGTATTTTGAATTTGACGCCGAATTTAAAATACTGAGTATAAAGGCTGGCGAGATAGCTCAGCAGACTAAGTACCTGCTTAGGCAAGCACAGGGCCCAGGGTTCAATACCCGGTACCACATGCTGTCCTGGCCCAGTGAGACCCTGTACCAAATACCAAATGCCAAATAAAAAAAAAAAAAAAAAAAAAAAAATTGTGTATAAAGTCTCATGGAAGAAAATCTGTTCATTTTTTTTAAGACAATCTTTTCAAAATTTTAATACTTGGTTTATAAGGTAAAAAGTTTATGACTCCTGCAAATTGTTTTTTGTTTGTTTGTTTGTTTGTTTGTTTGTTTTTCTGAAACAAGATCTTGCTATGTGGCTGAGGCTGGCCTCAAACTCAGAAGTTCTTAGCGCCCTGAGTGCTGGGAGAAGCATGCGACACCATGCTAGCCTGAAGCCTCCTCATTTATGGGATAATCTATTAAAATGCTTACTATAAGAAATCAAGTAATCATTTCTTTCATCCTGTCAGGTCCCAAGCAACTAGGAATTCACGAGCACCAGCTTTTAGCACATCACTGAGCTTTGTGGAGAGGGGAAGAGACTGCAGAAAAGCCAACCAGGAAATGGCGTATGGTGGTAGCCAGAACATGATGGTAAGCTCCAGTGAAAATGAACACCGTTTCAAGTACAAGTAGTCTCCTATTTTTACAGGGTTTTGTTGTTGTTTGGTTTTTTTGAGGTCATGCTATTATACAGTGCAGGCTGGCCTCAAACTCACAGTGATCCTCCTGCCTCAGCCGCCCAACTACTGGGATCACAGGCATGTGCCACCACAGCAGCAATATTTACATTTTTTAAAAAATACTTCTGTTTGGGCTGGTGAGATGGCTCAGTGGTCTAAAGCACCTACTTAGAACAAACTTAGCAAAGCACAGGGACCACAGTTCAATCCCCCAGCACCACATGCCAACCAGCCCCGCCCCCTGGTGGGCTGAGCTGGCCACACACACACACACACACACACACACACACAAATAAATAAATAAATTAAAAAAAATACTTCTGTTTAATATAACTTTACCACTTAATTTGTGTGTCCTCTATTTACATTTCCCACACAGCCTCTCAGAGGTAAATGACAGCAGTGGCCAAGTTACCCCTTCCTCTCACAATACTTTCAATTGTTCTTTCCTCTTCTTTTCTTCTGCAGTCAGTTTGTCTGCCTGGCAGAGCACCAGCCTGCCACTCCTGGTTTGGTGTGCCCTGCCTTTCCCCAGGGTGTTCCTGCAGCTTCTGCTGCTCTAGGCAGCACTGGCTCAGCCCTGGTCCATGGCTGTGCCTAGCTGAAGTCCCAGTCTAATGTTTTCTTGGTGTCGCTGGACCTCTAGTCTTGTGATTGGCATGCTGTGGAAGTGTGTCTGCGTTCCTGTGTGACCTGTAGTGTGCTCAGAGCTCAGCAGTGTCACCAAGTCACATTTTATTGCTCTTTCAGGTCTTAGGAAAGAAGAAGAAAGTGGTATTTTGGCATTGGCTGGGTGATAGGCACTGAAGGAAACTTTGCATTTTTTAAAATAGACTGTATAGTCCTTTTCTGGATAATAGTGACAGTCTCTCAGAGGTGCCATTCAGCTAGAGAGAGAACATAGGAAAGACAACCATCTTCATTCAGTACAGACACTGTTGAACAACCGCCATGTCAGGCAGCCTGCTGTGCATCAGAAGGACAATCGCCACCCAGGAACTTGTGGTTTATGTTGATTTCTTCTCATTAGTTATGGTTTTGTTAACTTGTTTATACATTTAGGCTTAATGACCACCTGCACATTTTAAATACTTGCATGGATCTGTCGTAGTCTGTTCTAAATTCTGTTATGTAGCTGTTGAATTCTTCCTGCCTGTATAATGTGTAAATGTTTCACTAGTTTTATTTTCATGAACAGGCCGTATATCAGGCTTCAGGATTCGATGATTGTTACTGCCTGCAGTCGGAATTTGTACGATCACCAAGTGAGTATTTTTCCTATGCAAATGTTGAGTTAATGTTGTGTTACCTAAGGCGTTATGCCCTAATACTTGCGTAGCCCTCATTTTTATTTGCTCTTGCTCTGCTTTTATTTTATAATGCTTCTGTGTCAGTGAGCCTTCCACCAGAACAATAAAATATCAGATCAGGCTGGTACAGTGAATGTGTTAGAGGCCAGTGGCTGAGAGTATGGTTTGCATACATCCAACCCAGGAAGCAGAGAGAGATAGACAGACAGGCACAACCAGGGTCCCACAGCCCTCTGCAAGAGTTTGCCCCCAGTGATCTGAGCTCTGTCTAGACCCCTTCCTAGAAGGTTCCACAGTACCTGCTGTAATGTCCAAAAGATCAATGGAAAGGAAAAATGAAGTATACAGCTCTCTTAGTCTATGCCTTACTTTCTTCTAGGTCATTGTTTCTCTCAATTATTGAAAGTTTTCGTTATTTTCTTCCCTCCCCACAAAGAGCCTTTGTGGACATTTCACCCTAGTTGTCCTCTGCCATGAAGTTTTAATACTACACTTGCTGCCTGTTTTTTTTTGTTTGTTTGTTTGTTTTGTTTTTTTGTTTTTTTATGTACCACATGAGCCCCTGTGTGATAGAAAGGTTTTTACCTCTCAACTAATTTTACCCTGTTGGGGCTGATAGTCCCCTTGTCCAAATGAATGCTCGTCTTAGTCCTTTGGGGCTGCTATAACCAAAATCCCATACACTGGATCACTTAGGAACACTGCAATGTCTGCATTTCTGTAGGGTGGCCAATCTAGAGCCGTGAGCACTCCAGCAACCTAGACACGCCCAGAAGCGTGCTGCCTTGGTTCATAGGCATCTCAAGCCGATCCCATGATGAACCATCATCATATACACAAGAGCTGGATCTTATTCCAGAGCACCGTGGAAGACGGGGCTTCCAGAGAAGCAAATACCCCTTCTCCCTCTTTTTTTTTTTTTTTTTTTTTTTAATTTATTTTGTTTTGGTTTTTGAGTCAGAGTCTATGTATTTGAGGCTGGCATTGAACTTGTGGTTATCTTCCTGTCTCACCCTCCTGAGTGCTGGGATTACAGGCATGTGCCACCACCCCCTTCTTCCATCTATTTCTGACTTTCCTTTATATAACATTTTGGTGAAAACCTTTCTGAAGTACATTACACTTTCTTCTCTCCTTCCTTCCTTCCTTCCTTCCTTCCTTCCTTCCTTCCTTCCTTCCTTCCTTCCTTCTGTTTTGTACTGGGAATTGAACTGAGGACCTTGTGCTCGCTAGACAAGTGCAGTGCTGTTGAGCTATATCCCTAGCCCCATACTTTGCTTTTTAAAAGTTTTTTCTCTAGTATTCTTTTCAGGGTTATTGAGGTAAGATTGTTGGCCTTCCCTAGTGACATCCCGCTGCTCCCTTTCCTCTCTTCAGCTGGCTTTCTTTTCAGTGGTTTTGCTTCTCGCAGCCACCACTAGGCAGATCCAGTTTCATCTTCTCTCAGCTTCAGCTGCACAGAGCCAGCCGCTTGCTGAGCATCCCCATTTATTGTGCTAGTGCACTGACAAGAGCAGGAGGTGTGGCAGTTGTGTTGCCAGGAATTCCACGGAGATGTGAAACATCTTTGAAGATAAAACTATTTCTTTGAAAGGCAGCTTTTATTAATATTTCTTAGGCCTTTACTATGATACAGCATGTTTCAATAAGTCGGTGCTCTCCCTCTCTCCCTGTCTATATTCAGATAGCGAACTTGAGGTCCTGGAGGTAAGGTTAAGTGCTCTCCCCCAAGGCCACACAGCAGAAACCAAAGTAGAACTCTCCTGCCTTTCCTAAGCCTCTGGCTTCTGAGGCCGCCAAAGCCAGCGCGGGCTCTAGTCCTTCTAGTCTTGAATGTCTCTGGGCTGTCTCCCCACGCCTTCCATCATATATACTTGGCCATTCTGACCCTCCAGCACCGCTTCAGCTGTCCCTGCCCTGCTCAGAAAGAGGCGGTGGCTTCCCGCTCCTGCCCGAGCAAAGGGGTCTAAACACTCCCTGCCCCTTGCCTTTGCAGCCCTTTGCTGCCTCCCGCCCTGTGTACTGCTTCTGATTGTGCAGGTGACTTGGTATTTCCAGCCATTCTAGAGGCCCAAAGTGAGCTCTTAGGTTCTCAGACACTCTTGGATTTAGCCATTTTGTCCTTATCTTACCCGTCCCTCAAAACTAAATACAAACACTGAATCCTCGCTGGTGCTGTTTCCTGCTGCTCCCTTCAAGTGATTTCTACCTTTTGTGAGTTATAAGAGAAATAAGTAACTGTGGAACTAATATACTATTTACAACACATTACCCTCCTTTTTTCATAATGGTGATTGTTATCTTTTTTTTTTTTTTTTAAATTTTAAAAGTTTTTAAAAAACATTTAAAAAAAAAAAAAAAAAAACTTTTTTTTTTTTGCGGAACCAGGGATTGAACTCAGACCCTTGCGCTTGCCAGGGAAGTGCTTATTCCACTGAGCCATCTCCCCAGCCCCTAAAAGACATTTATTTACATTTTTTTTCAAAGTTTTATTGATAAACAGATAGCAATGAGACAGTTTCAAATCAAATCGGAAGTACAGTTTCAACAAATAATACACTGCATATATTCTTCTTAGTGGTTAATTGCTGTATGGTGATTGTTATCTAATTACTGGAGTGATTGAGCCTTTCTTGCCATAAATAATAAACTACCTAGAATACAAGCCATTGCCTGTATCTCTGTGTCTGCTGTACATCTCTACACTTTTATTGTTACAATTTATCTTTTCATTTCTTTTGGCTGTTTTAAGACAGAGTCTCCCTGTGTAGTTCAGGCCAGGCTTGAGCTTTCTAAACCCAGGCTGGCCTTGGAACTCTTAGTGATTCTCCTGCCTCAGATTCCCAAGTGCTGGGATTACAGGTGTGTTTCCCTGTAGCTGGACTGCAGTTTATTGTAATTTTGCAACACACAAAGTACTGTCATCATTATCTCCTGCTTTGGCTTACCTATGTATGGTTACACTTACAATATTCCTTCCTTGGCTTTATTTCCATATGCTTGTATTTTCGTTTTATATTCAGGTTTATAGATTTTTATGCACATATCTCAGGAAAAAATACTTTCTGTTAACAGGTAATCCTCCAAGACATAGAGGAAGACATAAATCCCGAAACAATGACTCAGAGAACGTGAAGTATGTTTTTTCTCTAATTTTATAGGAATTTTAATTGAGATTAAATTGGATTTAATCAGGGGGAAATTATTTTAGTATTTCTGTTCAGGAATTTGTGTGACTCTCCATTTACTTTATATTTTAAATGACCTTCAATGAA